TTGGGTGACAAATCCTTTTGCAATCCAATTGAGTTCCATGTCCCACTTCAATCTTAGATGCAGAAAATGTTGGCTTGTGTCTCAATGCCTCACTGCAAAACTTTTATATATGAATATAATCTATATTATATTCATATATAATTATTAATCAATTACAATACTATATTTATAATGCTATATTATCTATATAATATATAATGTATGTCATTGTGTATTATACAATGTATGATGTTGTATATTATACAATATATAACCTATATAATTATGTAATGCTATACTTATAACATATTCATAATATATAATATAATTATATAATTAATTTATATAGTAATACATCAATTATATTTTAATTATATTTTATAATTATATAATTAATCTGTATTTAGTATATACTTACATGACATAATTGCATATATATTATACATGCTATATTACATATGTATGATATATCATCTATAATAGATCATAATATATAATCTATTATATAATCTATTAGACATTACTTGTAAATCTAATAGATGATAATATATAATGAATTATAATATCTAATATGATAATATACAATATTTTGAGTTACAATGTAATATAAAAATATTATAATTATCATACATATAATCCCACAAATCTTATATAGTTTGTTCTTATATTTTCCTTTTGTTTTCATTGTAGATAACTACGGTTATGCTTTGTATCTAGATGTCCTGCAAAGCCTCATGTAGTCACGGAGTGGGGCCAGCTAATCATGGACTGAAACCTCTACAAACTGTGAGGTAAATAAATCTTTTCTTCCTTAACTTTGGATGTAAGTTATTTTGTCTCAGCAATGAGAGAAAAATAACCAAAACAACTACTATTGGTCTGACTTCAATAGTACTGGATACCCTCTAGATCTGGTGGACCCTAATTCAAATAAATATTTCATCTCTGTATTTTGTTTTTATTTTTTTCTTTGCACTTTTAGCATTTCCATCTAGATGTCTCACTAAAAAACTATCTAGTTCTTTTAAGCTACTTCAGTCTCTCTGCTAAAATTTTCCATCCATTCATATTTTCCAGTTTAAAAATGCCATAGTTATGCTTAAATCTCTAATAATTCCAACAAAAAGGCCATCTTTGGGTCTTCTCTGCATGACTTATAATTTTTGAATCTCTCTTAGACATTTAGTTTAAACAAATAAGAGGTTTTGAAGGAAATGTTACTTACCCCCCAAATGCCATGCTCCTCATTCCATCGAGTTGCTGATGTGCACAGTTACAGTAATTTAACCTCTGACTGAGCTGCATTTGACTTTGTTATACTTTTACCTTGAATCAGTTAATCACTTACTTCAAATATTTTAAGGGTAGTGCCAGGGCTTCCCCCAGTAGAACACAGATCTGAGCTTAAGACTCTTACATCCTTCCATACTAATTTAGGGATCAGCTACCAGCTATACAAATCATGCTGGTAGCTTTTAAGGATCTCTGGGGGCTTCTAGTCACTCTCCCCCAAATCACTACACTTTGATGGATTCCTCTGCACCCCCAGCCTTTGGGGGACTGCTCAGCGCTCATGAGCAAGGCAGTGAGATGTGCACTGGAGGGCTTGTGCACTCCTGGAACTTGAGGACAGGAGTCTGAAGTGTGGCAGAAGGCGGTGACAGTCCTCTCATTACTCAGCTGTCTGAAGTACTCAGGAGAGATCTCTCTCAATTATTCCTCATTCCCCACGGTTGGCAGCCACCACAATAAGCCTGTGTGGGCTTAGGTTGCTTCAGAGCAACTAGGTACAACTCTACTATCCTGTGTTCAGCTTTAGCAAGCCACTTCCTTTCACTTGAAAGAACCCTGTGTTTCTTGAAAGGAATCTCCCAAGTCTCCAATGCAATGGTAATAGCAGAGGTAGGAGACCAGACTTTCTCCTGATAGTAGAAAAAATGCATTCAGTTTTGCTGTGTTAAGTAAAATGTTGGCATAATTCAGCACAGAAAACTAACTACGGTGCCACATGCCATAACTCCTAACCCGTACAACCAGAAGAAAATTCAACTTCTATTTTATATTTATTAAACTGAAGTTTTAACTAGATAACTCTTGAATTTAAAAAATCAGTACAGAGACAATTCCAATTAACAAGTCAGCATCAATAGAGAACCGAAAAAGCAATAGAATGCATGTGAGCTTTTTTCTGACATCAAATATGTGTCAGTTTTCCATACATCAATTATCCAACTCTCTAAAACCAATTGTATAACAAGTTAATTCAACTGACACTAACAATGAGGAGTTAGTACAGATCATCCCCACCATATTTAATGCTCAGTGTGTCCAGACTGCCCACACCCTCCCTAGTTGGAGTTCCATGGCGCCACCTTTCTGACTGGTCTACTATAAGCTAAGATATTGTGCTGCCCTCCTGAGCTTGATAATTCTCTAGAACAACCCGAACTCAGAATGTAAATTTCTTATTGACAGGTTTCATGGAAGGCTTTGAGTCAAAAGCTTTGCATGGGTGTAGCTCAGCTATAAAAACAATCTCCTACTTTAAATTTTTTTCTTTAGTCCCTAATTGAACCTTATGTTTCACCCAGGGCTCAAAGGTTGGCTCTGATAATCTCCAAACAGTCCTGACTTGCCTGGTTTTTCTAGTAAAGACAAAAAGAAAATCAAATGGAGAGCCAAAGGCTGTATGCAGTATCAAAGTAAGAAAAAAAAAAAAAAAAAAAGAGGGGCTCAAAACACGCAAACTGAAGCAGCCACAGGTACCCTAGCTAAGGTTGCTTCCAGGAAATTTGGAGCAGATGACTTGCCTGGTTTTTGAATTCAGATTTCCCCAAGTGTTAAAGAAAGTGTTTTCAGTTAAAATGTCAACATGCGAGATACATTTCAATAGGACTACTGCTACCAGTTATCAGAAAAAATTGGGGTTTTTACTGAGTTAATTTTAATACACACAGATTCATGGCTAGACTATTACACAAACATATATATAAAACAATTGCTTTAAACCAGAAAGCACTTGTAGATACATTGCCCAGGAATTTCTCAGGGAGGCCAAGATAGAATCATTCTTACGTGAATCAGAACATATTTTCTTTAATACTCTGGCTTTTCTGAGTACTTTACTTCCTTCTTGCTAGTTAAAATCACAGAGTTAAGCCAGTAAGAGCCAGAATGGGGGAGGAGAAAGAAAGAAAGCAATGCAGACCCTCAGGAGGGAGGGGGCTTGAGATCACACACAATAGCCACTGTGGACCCAAAGCAAAGAGGAAACTTCCAGAAAGAATACAGGAAAATCCACGAGGCTTTGCACCCCAACCCAAAGTAAGGTTCAACTTCATTCCAGATTGTTTTTTTTTTTTTTTAAAGTAAGAGCCAAGATCTTTGTAAATCAACAACCAATGGGGCCAAGTCACTGGTGCCTTATTATCAAATACCCAATTAGTTCCAAGTACCAGATCCCAACTATTTAAATTAGTTCCACCTAGAAAATCCAAGGGAAGGAGTGGGGAAAAGAATGAATTGCAGAATCCATGGAAGATGGGCTGGTGTTCCTGACTCTAAACTCTCCTGTGTATTGTTTCCAACACTGCCTGTGCTTACTTAAATTGAGCCGTCCACTGAGTCCTGCAGGAAGACCTATCTACTCCCACATTGAGCCCCAGAAATCTGTAACTGGCTGGCATGAATTTTTAGCTGCTGTTTCCAACACTAAAATAAAACGCAAATTTATTTTAAGAAAGAAACACAGGCAGCAGACAGCCTGGGAAAGGACAGAAAGTTGGCTAATTTCACACACACGGAACTGCACAAGAGAATTTTATTTTTATGAACTTAAAAGGTATGTCATTAACTATTCATGGAATTTTTAGAAAGTAGGAATAAATGTCTCTGGGCAGGGTGGAGCTCAGTTTTTTGTATGGTCTTATTTCGTTTGTTTATGCATCCTGCTTCCTTCTTTTCAAAGTGTGGTGACTTGCCTCTGTCATTAACTACTTACTTTAAAAAAAAAAAAAAGTTTCTTTATATTTTATTAGTACACATTTGCCATATACAATAGTCCCATTTATCGTGGGGAGTTGGTACATATTCATAACACATTTTAATTGTCTTTACTTCCCCTTCCCTTCTCTCCTCCATCTCTTGGTCCCCTTCCCATTTGCAAAAGATCCGTTTTCTCCTCTCTCATCCTCCAAAGTGTAGCTGCCTGCTCGTTTCCCAGCCAGTGGCTACTTGAAAGGCCTGTTAGCTCCCTGCCTCACTTACACACCTGGAGTCCCGAGTTGGACTACGTGAGTTCAAATCCATCTCAGTAGCTTGTTCTGACCTGACTGTTTGACCTGAGCAAGCAGCCTACTGCTTTAAAGTCCTGTTAGTGCCAAGCCTCAAAACTGCACCAAATATTTAGACTGACAGTAAAATAAGAGAAAATTGTAGACCCATTCACCTTAGGAACCTCAGTAGGAAAATTCTAAGTGAAACATTATCTAAGGTCAGAAGGGACCCTCAGAAGGATTAAAAGGTCTGAGCTCTTTTTAGAGGATGGGAAATCCAGTCTCTGTATGGCTAAGATCAGCAAGCAGTTTTCAGCAGATTTGTGGTTTGAAACTGACAGTCTAAGATTTTGGCACCTCCCTCTCTGTAGGTAACAATGACCCACCTAGTACAGGGTGCCTGCCTGCCAAATTTACCTATAAAGTTCACAAGACCATACCCCTAGTGTTACAGGCACACTATTCAATCAGTCAAGTGTTAACCCTCAAGGGGGTGAAGCCGGGACCCCTAAACCATAACACAGGACCACCACCCAGATTCAGTGGTATCTCAGCTCTGAGTACCCCTCTCTTCCCCAGAGTGGCTTTGTACAGCTTCCTGCAGTGCCCATAATAAAAGGCTTTCACTTTGCACTGGTCTTCTCTGATTTCCGTTCTTTCCACAAGACAGCCCAGAAAGTATGAGTCTGGGGATCTCCTGGACCCAGACCCCAGGCCCACCAGATATAACATAAATTGGGGACTCACCTGAGATGGAAACAACACCATCCAAGACCACCTGCCCAATATATCCAGCCTAAAGGAAAGTGAAGTGGGAGGAGAGTCTTCCGGCTGGGCTTCCAACTGGGAGCTGGGAATCCTGAGAGAATTGAGTGCAGCCTTCTTCTTCAAGGGCGGGACTTGAACTTTGCCCTCCTATAACCTAGTGATGGATCCAGTAAAGTTCCCAAACACCTATGCTAAGAGGAGATCTTTCAGACCCAGTTCCAGTCAGTGTCCTCAGTGAGAAGGGAGGAATGATAGGAATCCCAGCATGCCCCAGAGACCTTTCTGTCTGCACGTTTGAGGACAACATTTCCTTCAGACTGTTTCTAACCTGACTTTCACATGGGGACATATTATTTTTAGGGCAGGGTTTCCATGTCTACTTGCCCCTTTTGTCAGGCCACCATTAGGCTTCACAGCTCCTTGGTTTGCTCAGAACAATTTTCTCCCTTTGATTTGTCACCTATTTTGCCATATTCCAGCAATCCCAGATATTTTGTCTCAGTTAGGACATTAAAGGCTTTCTGAGTTCTAGAGAAGGCAGTGTCAGGAGACCCCTTTGACTTGCCTCAGGTGTTAGAGATTTGATAAATTTGTTTCCTCTTGGAATATTGGGTTATGGCCCGTAAGAACCATTTGAGAATTATGTGTTTTTGAAAACTGATAGCAGCAGTGTTATTTGGAATACAAGAAAAACTATTTCAGTCCCAGCCCTGGCAGAAATAAAGGGAATTTCCTCTGCTATAGGCTTCAGTGGAGCTAAGTCATGAAACAGGTAGGATCTGGTTTCCTGGGTCCAGGTTCATCCAGTCAGTGGCCACTGGCAGATGCCAGTGAGGGAGCAATTTGTTCAGGAATGCTTGGCAAAGGGCTGCCTCCGTTGGCCACTTGGAAGACAGGCTTCAGCTTAAAAAATTTAGTCTCTTCTTCTTTTTTTGCCTATTCTCACCCTGCTACAGTGGAGTTAATCTTCAGCTACTCTACTGCACTCTCCTCTGGAAAGTCTTCTCCAACCATGGAAAAATTTAGACCTCCAGTTCCTTAAGGTGAAGTCTTTGATCTTTTATTAGACTGACTGCTAGGAATCCAGGATTCATACAGGGCCAGGGGTCAAGGTGAAAGAATTACCTGGGGACAGGGGAGCCAAGGCCCTGTTTCCCCTTCCTCTGAGACAAGCCCCATAGCTCTTGGTAGGGTGCTGCCCATTAGAAACAATTTGAGAGAGAGACCAAGATAGATCTCATTGCTACTGAAAATTGGGAATAATCAAATGAGACCGGGAAAGTCCAACTGCTGACTCAGATAACTATAGAAGAGCTTTTAAAAGCATAACTTCCCTATTGGGTTAACTTGGGATGGTGTGAGGTTTCTCCTTACTACAACTCTTAATGAAGAAGACAGGAAAAGGGCTTTTAGGGGTGATAGCTACAGCTAACAAAGTAAATAGCCCCATAGGGGGTGAGGCTTGCTCCTCGCCCAAACCTCAGTGAATCTGTGAAACACATCCTGAAGAAAGGTGCCTTTGTGCTTCTTCTATTGCATCAAAGAGAGACTCAGAATAAACAAGAGTTCAGCCTGTTACCTACACAAAATTAGGACAAAGTTGTCAGAAAGAAAAGAAACGCACTGCAGTGCTCTTACAGTTAAAGAGAGTCATGGCAAGTATGTGCCTGAACGTGCACTGTGATTTGAATGCTGTTGTCTTGTATTCTTATCTGTCTGCTCAATCAGTGCAAGTGACCGGTCACAACACGTGAAGCTGCTCTGTCTGAAAAGAAAAGGAAAAATCCTGGTTGTTGTTTTTTTTTTTTTTTTAGCTCAATAATTTCTTTTTCTTCCTTTATTGTGTCTACTGGATGGGGGGGTGTAGGGATTTTCCATGGATAATAGTTCTACATAGGTTTAAATATTTAGGTATATGGCTTAATGATCTTGGTTCATGCAGTTTATCAGTGGGCTAATTTACATAAAAGATTTAAGTTATCTATCAATCAAACTGATATCAAAAGTGGCTTGCTTATTGTTATCTACATGTAAAAACTTGTCAGGAGTCCAGTTAGTGGGAAAAACTGAACTGAATAGATTTTGGGTGTCTGCTTTGTTAGCCACCAAAGGCAGTCAAGTCTAGCAGCCCCTCCACGTTCAAGGAGTTCACATTAAGTTGTCTTTAAATTTTCTCTTCACTGTGAGCAACTTGTATTGATACTGATCTTTATATTAGTTTGCTAGGACTGTCATGACAAAGATTCCAGGCTGCATGACTTAAAACATCAGAAATTGGTGCAGTCCTAGCCGGAGTTTCTCTGTCTGGTGGCCTCAGCCATTCTTTGGCTGTGGCAGCATCATTCCAGTATCTGCCACCATTCTTGCATTTCTCTATTTCTCTGTGTCTTCTTTCCTTCTTATAAGGAGATAAGTCATTGGGTTTAGGGACCATGCAACCTTGAAGGTAATTTTCTATTGTGATCCTCAATTAATCACATCTCCAGAGACATGGCATGGATCTGGACGGACATGAATGGCAGGGGTCCTCATTGTGCCTAACCTCCAATCTGTATCAAACAACTCGATCTGTTTCATTATTTCTAATAATTGGTGAGTCATATATGTAGACTTTCATGTCATCACCACATAATGACGGTTTTTCCTCATTTTCTTTCTCTTTCATTCCTTTGTCTTCTTGGCCTTTCTAGCTTTTCTTCAACTGCAGAAAAACTTTGAATTAAAATTGTAATGATTAACAACTTTAATTTGTTCTTAATTTTATTATGAATTCTTTTAAATTTTCACAAATCAGTGTAATGTTTCTAATGTAGAATTTTAATGTCTTTCTTATGAATTATAATGATTGTTTCTTAGCTAATTGAAAGGTTATTTTTAGTTTTCTTAAAATGTTGAATGAATGCTGCATGTTTTTGACACTTTTTAGCATCAGTTGAAATGACCACTTTTTAATCTACTCTCTTAATTAACCAGAGGATTTTAATTTAAACAGAAAAATGACAGATTTACAGAAAAAAGAGGCTTACCCTATGCATACAAGAGTCAATGAAAGAAATTGCTAGTGATTAAAGGATGAGCTGGTGAAGAAGAAGCAGAAAACATGCATTATTCCTTAGATCCAAATGTCCTGAAAGCTTCATGCGTTTATAAGGTGATTGGATTATGCGGAAGCTGCACCCATCAGTGAACTAGTCTACAAGAGAGTTCATAGCTCACTTGTTGTTACGGGACTGTACCTGGTTATGAATGAGTCACAGGATGTGATAGGAAGGGTTTCTCTCCCTTTTTGGCTCTTCCTTTCTCTCTGTCTCAGCTTCCTGGCCGTCATGAACTGAGTATCACTTCCTCTTCTCTGCCATCCTGTTCCTGCCTGGAGTCAGCCCACCATGAACCAAAATATTAGCCAGGATAAATGCCTCCTCCTTAAGTCATTGAACCTGGATATTTGTCTCAGAAAATAAGGAAAACCACACTGAGTTTGGAAACAGTTCTGTTGGTTCCACATACAATTGAACAGACCTTGATGATGGAATTTGTCCCACACCACTGAGCACATTATTCAAGTCAAAGGAGTCAGAATTTCAACCATTTCTCAGTTCCTACATTTTCACAATGGAAGCAATCTGAGGGCAAAGAAAAGTTAGCTCATGTTCAAGGGCGGATATGTTTTTAATTGCAGCCTTAGTTACAGACAGATCATTTTCCATTGGCTTGTTCAGTCTTCAGACAGGTGACAATGGATCCAAAACTACTTACAAAGGATGGAAAACTCAATTTTCTGCCCTTGATTTTTCCATATACTATTTTGAAATCTAAGACAACTGGCTTCTTTAACATTTTCCACAAAATGTGTAACTGTTAGATTCACAAACACCATACAGTAAAGTTCAAATGCAGGATCCACTCAAAACCTTTGACAAGGTTCTACTGGTGTGGTGGCTCCAGATTGTCATCCCAACACTCTTGGGAGACTGAGTCAAGAGGGAACCAAAAGACAAGAAGATGGCAAGTTTGAGTCCAGCTGGGGCACTTAAAGATATCATCACAAAACAACATTTTTTTAATGCTTGTGGATATAGCTTAGTGTAAATTCAAAAATGTTTTTAAGAGCATCAAGTTACCATCTCCACATGAATTTAGCTCTTCAGTCTGGTTGGTTTATGGCAAACCCTCTTGTTGCTCTTTCAAATCCATGTACCTTTTGTCTTATATGCTTTAAGAAAGCACTCTTAGTAAGGTATCAAGATAGAGGTATATTAATAGAAGATGCTAATGTCTTCATTTGATCTTACCTTTGAGATGCCAGAGAGTGAAAAGGAGGAGATACATTTCTGATATTTACAAAAATGAGAAGTCCCAGGAGGTGCTAGATGACTGGGCTCAGTTGTGCATAATGGAGTAAAGATTTAAGAGCAAGTCAATATAAACACAAGAAAAATCTTAGAAGCAGAATAAGGAAAGGGCTTAGAGAGTATTCTGAGTTTTTTAATTCCCTGATAGTGGGAACACTTATTGCCACCTCGCCACTGTCAGGTGGACAGAGAAATGTCCTTTTCTTGCAGTACCAACTGGAGGCAATGTCTTGGCCTCTGTCACCATCAGACATGTTGGGAGTAGAGAGAAGAAATCTACAAGTGAAAATAAACGAGCCATTCCTAAACTTCAGCTCCTCTCTCATCACAACCTTGAAGGACTCATCATTTTGTTTGATACAGTGTTTTATTTTGTGGGGGTTTCCATGCATTATGGGATGGTTAGCTTATCAAGCCTCTTGCCTTAAATGCCAGTAGAAACCCAGAGCTGTCATAGCAATTTCAATTTTTCCTCACATATTTCTAAATACCACCTTTGATTGAGAACCTATGACCTACATGATTAGATATCAAGAAGATAACAGCCCTTGGGAAAACAAAGGAGAGCTCAGTTTCAGGGACTGAAATACAGATGTGTGACTAGAGGTCAGTGTCACTTGTCAGGGAGTAAAAGCACAGAAAATGGTTCCGATCAGAACAAAACAGGCTCTGAGCAGTGAGAAATCCTTCTAGTTCCGTAAGTTCATTTGCGATGACAAAATATAAAGCTTAGAATTTGGTTCATTCTCCTTGGAATACAATACCATTAAAGTATTAGAAAATTCCAGGTGAAGGTGAACTAAAAAAAAAAAAAAGACATCTGAAGAATGTAACTACTAACATCTATATAAGAAAGGAAAAAAGTAATAGACTGTTCAG